AGCTCACAGCAACCTCCAATTCCTGGGCTAAAGCGATTCTCTTGCCTCAGCCTCCCAAGGAGCTAGGATTATGGGTGCCTGCCACAATGCCTGGCTATTTTTTGGTTGTAGTTGTCATTGTTGTTTGGCAGGCCTGGGTTGCAATCCAAACCTGCCAGCTTTGGTGTATGTGGCTGGAACCTTAGCTGGTTGAGCTACAGGTGCCGAACCATTCTCTACTAATTCTTTTTTTTTTATTATTAAGTCTTTCATACTCACTCTCCTAATCATTCAGGTTTCTGACACATGGGTGCTGCCTTCTGATAGGACACACCTTGACGTCTAGAATTTCTAGACTAGGACACAGCTCCCTTTGTAGGATGATTCTCCAGAAATCTTTGTCCATGGCTGTCATCAGCTTTTTCTCCCATTCTCTAAAGTGACTATTCTAAACTCTCAGCTCTCCTCAAATTTCCTACTCCATCACCTTTGCTCTTGCTCTTGACAAATGACCATGCCTTGTTCTTCACTGGAAAATTAAGGCCATTAACTGTTTTTCCTACTATCTGTGAATTTCAATGAAATCTTATCCTTCCTTCCTCTTCATCTCAGTGAAAGAGGTGATTGGTTTTCTCTCTGTCCAAGGCTTATCATTCTTTCTGTTTGGACTCGTGTCCCTACTTTCCAGTATCCTTGCTCCTTCATTATTTACCTTCTTTCTTTTGTTTATTTCCTATCCCCACCTCTATCAGCTTTCAGTTCATAAGCATATTAAATAATCTCCTGTCTTTAAGAAAATCTGGTGGTTCTTTTGCCCCCAGCACTTCATGGAAATTGATCTTTTTAAACTTTTTTTTCTTTTTGAGACGGAGTCTCAAGCTGTCACTCTGGGTAGAGTGCAGTGGTGTCACAGTTCATAGCAACTTCAAACTTTTTGGCTTAAGCAATTCTCTTGCCTCAACCTCCCAAGTAGCTGGCAGCACCTGGCTATTTTTTGGTTGCTGTTGTCGTTGTCATTGTTGTTTAGCTGGCCTGGGCCAGATTTGAACCCACTAGCCTTGGTGTACGTGGCTGGCGCCCTACCCACTGAGCTATGGGGACCACCCATCTTTTTAAACTTTTTTGAGATACACTCTCCCTGTGTCACCAAGGCTTGAGTGTTCACTGCAGCCTTCAACTCCTGAGTTCAAGTGATCCTCTTGTCTCAGTCTCCCAAGCAGCTTTGATTACAGGCATGTGCCTCCACAGCTAGCTAATTAAAATTTTTTTTGTACAGATGGGGCCTTGTTATATTGCCCAGGTAGGTCTAAATTCCTGGCCTCAAGTAGTCTACCCACCTTGGCCTCCCAAGGTGCTGGGATTAGAGGCTTGAGCCATTGGCCCAGCCAGAAATTGATGTTACCAAAGTCATCATTGACTCCCATGTTGCCACATCCAGTATAAACTTTGTGTCCCCAACTTATATTTTCTCTGTCTGTGGCACCACTTATTATTCTTTTCTTCCTGTTGAAACATTGTTTTTTTTTGA